GTCTATGTGAGTCAGTCTATGTGAGTCAGTTCGTTATAAGCCTTCCACTGCATAAAAACTCATCCTATATTGGTTGATTCTTGGTTCTGCCCATACTCATTGGAGTATGTAACATCAACCCTGCGACCTTCCGGCTATGGTGGGCTTTCTTCTTCTTCATCACTCTCATCGTCTTCTTCACCTTGGCTATGGCCGAAATTGTCTCCCTCTTCGTCAACTTCCCTCTTCTTTCTCTCTGCATCTGTTCTTCCTCCTTTCTTGATGGTGGTCTTCTTCTCCGATCTTGGCAGCTATGGCTGCCGTCCCCCTTCTCTTTCTCCCTCCGTCGCTCCCTCTCTCTCCTGCCGTACTCTGGCTGTGGCGGCTTTCTCCTTCCTCGCTTGCTGCAGCTCAACGTGGACAACAGGAACCAGCTCCAATACCATCTATCAACACTCAACTTTTTCAATGACAAAGTGCAGTGCTTGTCGTACAACCAAATAGCCTCCTTTGCAGTACGAAGTGGTGCAGCTATGGTGAGTGGTGCTTGCTCGTCATGAGCAACCAGACTGACCCCCCCCCCCCCTGAACCAATGGGGGTGGTCTGTGTTTTGGTAAAAAAAGAAAAAAAAGATACCTGATGAACTTTCTATGATAATTGGCCACTCTTAGGAACGAGTGAGGTTCTTTAACATCGGCTGATCTCTAACGGCTGCAATCTTGCTGTACGCCATCACCGTCTATGATATGACCAAGATACAATACTTCTCTTCGCCCACTCGAACTTCTATGGATTCACCTTGAACTGAGGACTTTTGTAGATGCTCCTTATGCTCTTCTAAAGTCTTGCTGAAAACGAAGATGTCATCTAATTAAACAAACCACACATCTGTCCAGCTGAACATGTCGTTCATGCAACGTTTGGAAAGTACCGGGGACGTTAATCGGACCGAAGGACATCACGTGGAATAGTGACAGGGACATTCGTCGGACCGAAGGACATCATGTGGAAGTCCACACCAGGTTCTTAAAGCAGTCATATGCTTATCTTAAGGGGCCACTTGGATTTGATGATATCCTGACTTCGTCTTATCTTGGAACAATATTTCCAACCCTGTAGCCTATCCAGCCCTTACTTATAAGGGGTAGTGGTTTTGCATCCTTCACTGTTATGGCATTCTGACCCCTATAGTCTACAGACACTGTCAACTCCCCTTCTTTTGTAGGAACTGCTCTCCTACCTCTCTCCTCAGACTGTTCATTTTGCCACGATGTACACCGACCTTCCTCATGCCTGCATTCTGAATAATGTGAAAGTTGTGCCCACCGGGCCCCACCCTTAATATGCCCTTAGCATACTTGCAAGCGTTCATCTTGCAATGCTCTGAACATGGTACTTCTAGGACCTCGTTGTGGCCAATGGACAGCTGATTCAGGCCCCGACATCCTTTTTGTTTCTCAGATTCTCCAACATCTTTGTTTTGTTGTACATAATGTTCTGTACACTGCAGATGGCACCCATCCGAAATAGATTGTTGGTATCCAATGGGAACTGGTGCTGGCCCAGAAATTTCTGATCTGATGCTGTATTGGGATGGAAGCGTGCTGTGTTGATGACATTCATTAGCATGATCTTCAAGCCGCTCAGCAATATGCTTTCGAGTATTGACTCATTGATCATGCTCTTTCATGGGGGCAACTACCTCCTCCACCAAAGCACTACGGCCTTCAGTGGAAAGAAACTATAACGTCAGATGGCCCGTGCACCTTTTAGGTACGCAACTATGGGCTGCTTTGATGGCTTGCTTGGTGTGAGTGTCTTTGATGGAGCGGCTGCCTAGGACTTCCATTAATTATCCAAGTGCAACCTCCGACGTCCTTTCTCACCAACCGGCTGGTGTGTCTATCGACTTCATGGATACTAGGTTCAGAGCAGAAAAATAGGACAAGCCGAGTAATGGGCATTGTTGATAGATTTAGGAAGTTTGCAGTATTTGTGTCGCTGCGGCTTGAGGCAAAAACAGACTTGGTAATTCAGGAGTTCTTCATATTGGGTTAATGATAATGGACATCCCGAATGGGAGTTAGTAATAGGGAAGTTAAATTTACGAGAGAACAGTGGCAACAACTAATGCAATGTCCGGAAAGATCCACGCTTGTCAACTGCAGCTGCTACATTGCCAAAAGGGAGCACTTGTTCACTTGAACGGTTGCAGAAAGCGGGGCTGGGTGCTTGTGCGGCTTACTTCGTGTGCAACTTGGTCAGAGATGTCAGGTTAGTTAACGCCGGAGGGCGCCATAGCTTGGAACAATATCAGAGAGAGAGAGAGAGAGAGAGAGAGAGAGAGAGAGAGAGAGAGAGAGAGAGAGAGAGAGAGGTTGAAGACATTCAGAGTGGAGAATGATCATTGAACTTGAGAGAGAGAGAGAGAGAGAGAGAGAGAGGCAAGAGGTTGAAGACATTCAGAGTGGAGAATGATCATTTCAGGGTTCAATAGTTGGGCTGTAGGGTCCTTGGGGTGCAAAAAGGCGAAAAACGCTAGGGGGACAGCTTCAGCCCAGGATGCTCAAACTGTACAAATTCGTCCTGTTACCAGTCGTGGCCATTCATGTATGCATGTAAACACACTGTTCATGGACTTTCCCTTTTAATCCTGCTTGGAAGGATGTGCGATTAAAACGAGGAATGCAGTAGTCTTTGAGTCGTAGCTTTAGGCCATGTTGGAATTCTTGAGTCAAAAGTCGGGCTGTAGGGTTCTCACTGTGCTGACAGAAGAGAAAGCCCAGCCGAGGCTGGTCAAACAGTGCAAATTCGCCTCGTTCCCAGTCTCAGCCATTCGTTCTACCTTTTGTGTGCTACTGGAGCGCTGCTGTGAGCTGAGCATGAGCCCCAGAGAGGAGGTGGACACAGAGAGACAGTCAGACAGAGTGTTGGCCATAGCTCGGCGTAGGTGCTCATGCACCATAGCCTAAACCAGCGAGAGAAAGAGGTACTGCAAAGATGCCATAGCCTGTTTCAAGAGGATCAAGCAACGAAAAAGAAACACAAATAGTAAAGGTAATGAAGTTAAATGAACATGTAATTCACATGCACCTGGAGCTCACAACATCATCACCATGCAAATATTTGCCAAGCTCAACGAATGACAGATGACAAAGAGAGATCAACATAGTGAAATGACCAGACAGAAGAGGACGAAGACCGGGAAGAGAATAATAATGGAAGGTAAAATAGATAGTTGGAATTCTTTGCGTCTCCTCCCTCTTCATTGCCCAGCTCTTCTCCCCGGAATTCTCCACCTCAGCAACTCACTATCCTATCATCTGCATTCGCTTTGGTGATGGGAAATGAGGTGACTGTAAACAACCCCCTCCTTTCGCGGTAGACACCAGGAGGCTGTGGAATTCGGTCGGGAAAAGGCTCAGGTGAGCTCTGTTTCAAAAGTCACTTCTTCAGGATGGATTTTTTCACGGCCGAGGACTCACATGAAGGATTTTGTTTTTGACGTGGTGAATTGGGAGAATTTGGGACCCAACAGCATCAAGCTGGTGAAACTCGACGGCACTCAGATGAAGTCCACAATCACAGTGTCGTAGAAAAACCTTGATTTCAAAAGTACAAGATTCCACAACTGGTACTGCTTCCAGGACACTTTCACCTCCTGCTGGAGGCTCATGAGGGAGAATACCAGCATTGTTCTCCTTGACTCAAAACTTTTGCCAGAGTTCGTTACTCTTCTGTGCAAGCAGCACACAGAGTGGGGCCCAACCAATTGTTGCCCAAAACTTTTACCCTGGAATTTTTGCCACTGAATGGGGGCTGTAGGGGGTAATTTTCCAAGTGCTAACAAGGTTGCCTAATGTTGATTCAGACCGTCTACAGGGAAAAGGAGTGGATTGCTTTTCTGAGATCAGGCTTGGAAGCACTGGATACTTTTTTGAACACTTCTCCCTTGAACATATAAGGATAAAAAGGAGGTGCACATTTGTGGGTATTGAGATGTCTGGTCTTTGGTGGCAAACTCGTGACAGGCGGAAATATGTTTGCAGCGGAGTTCCAGAGTCATCCCTGTAGTGTCTCCTTGCAGCAGGTGGCTTGTCCATGTCCAGAGAAGGGCCTGCAAACTAAGTCAAGCCCATTAAGGCCACAGCTCCTGAGCGCTTTTGCGTTCCATTGAACCAACCACTTTGCTGGTCAAATCCTGGGGATCACGCTGGTATACAAGGGGGCTGCAGTGAGATCTGACCTACCAGGCCTACTAAGAGCACTGTCCCTTGGAACTCCTAGCACAATATCCCACGCCCCACGTTTCCTATCTTGCCCCCACTGAAGAGCGGACATGGGGGACCAGGCTTCCAGTGACAGGTTCCGAAGTGGGGATGTTCCTGCTGATGTAGCAGAACTGATTGTTGTTAGGCATGGGGAGACAATTTCAAATGCTGATGGTCGTCTTCAGGGCCAAAGTGAATCAGAGCTAAATGATGTGGGCTTGAACCAAGCAGACGCTATCGCGGAGAGACTGGCACGAGGTGATCTTCCATTCACGGCGATCTATTCATCTGACCTCAAGAGGGCTATGGATACGGCAAAAGTAATCGCAGGGAAGACAGGCTGTGAGAAGGTTTTGCCTCATGCAGGGTTGCGAGAGCGCTGCTTAGGTGTTCTGCAAGGTTTGCTGAGAAAGGAAGTGGAAACTTCACATCCTGCAGCCTTCCGGGCCCTCATCTCCAAAAGCTGGAATGAAGCTATCCCGGGAGGTGGGGAAAGCAGGGGCCAGTTATCCAACCGAGTTCTGGAAGCAGGGGAGGAGATTGCAAAAAGCCATTATGGAGAACGTGTAGTTATTGTAACGCATGGAGGGGTGCTTAACTGCTTTCACTACAATGCAACAGGTAGAAATGCTTCTGGGAAGGCTGTCAATGCTGCAATCAACATCTTCCAGATTGACAGAAAAGGGACCTGGAAATTGGTGAGGTGGGGGGATATTGAGCACTTGGAGAAAGTTGGGTGGTTGGCATCTGGTTTTGGTGGTGGTAGGGATTCTGCTTGAAGCCCATATGAATGCACGTGGCACACACACACACACACACACACACACACACACACACACAGACACAGTTGTGGTGAACATTCAAAACACACACACACACACAGTTGTGGTGAACATTCAAAACACACACACACACACACAGTTGTGGTGAACATTCAAAACACACACACACACACACACACACACACACACACACAGGACGAGAGAGAGAGAGAGAGAGAGAGAGAGAGAGAGAGAGAGAGAGAGAGAGGAGAGTTCAACTGACATAATATTGCTGCTCTTGGTGCTGCGATTTTTGTTGACCTGTTACAAGGAAAATCTATAACACACACACACACACACACACACACACACACACACACAGAGAGAGAGAGAGAGAGAGAGAGAGAGAGAGAGAGAGAGAGAGAGAGAGAGAGNCAGAGAGAGAGAGAGAGAGAGAGAGAGAGAGAGAGAGAGAGAGAGAGAGAGAGAGAGAGAGAGAGAGAGAGAGAGAGAGAGGAGTTCAACTGGCGTAATATTGCTGCTCTTGGTGCTGCGCTTTTTGTTGACCTGTTACAAGGGTGTTGGTCGGCATCTTTCAAATTCTACACAGTGATAATCTTTTTTGTGATAGACTTGCAGTATATATTGCGATGGTTGGGCAGTTCTCATTTATTGGGCTGTCACCACATTTTTAGCACGGAATAGAAAAGAGCACCTCCCCCAAAAGGCCTGGCGCTGTCTGCCTTGGCAATCAAGGGTTGGGCTCGTGACAGGTTCGGCAAAACAGGTTTCGGAAGGGATGATGGCCTTAGCAGCTTCCTTCTGATGAACTCCACATTGGAGTGTCTCTGTCACAGTGCAAGCATGATAGTCAGAGGTTCTTTTGTCGCTCAGGCACTGGCCTGGTGACAGTCTGCACATTGGCTGGACTTCAGTGGTACATGCTGTATAGTGTCAGCCTCCTGACATCCATATCTAGCTTTCCAATGGTGGATCATCAGGTGTGGTTCTTTGTGACAATATATGCTGGTTTCGTAAAGTAAGACAGAAGATATAAGATAGCGCATGCATTGTAGGCTTCACATCCCGTTGCATGTGGATGCCAAATCTTGGTTTGTGCTTTCAGCTTTCTGATTCGGTGGTACTGATTTGAATGCAACATGTCACTTTCTGATTAGGTGGTACTGATTTGAATGCAACATGTCACTTTCAGACAATAGCTTGGTGGAATTCTGGGTACTCTGTCTGTTCTTTCTTGGAGTTCTCATGCGAAAAGAGCTTATTTTATGTGGTATAACAGTCTGCTGTGTCAGTTATAATTAGCATGAAACGAAAAGCCTAAAAAGGAACGCAGCACTTGCTTGGAATTCTCTGCTACAACACTGCTCTACTGCAGCCATACGGAGTGCTTGCAGATGCAGCAGAACTGCTCAGGACTTCAATGGACTGTAAGCCTGTGTAAGGAAATTATGCCAAGAATCGCAAAGGTCAGCACTGTCACCAAGGGACCCTATGAGTTTGCTAAGCTGGAAAGATCAAATGGCATCATGGTAGTTCGTGTAACAGCCCATTGCAAAAGGGAAACAGAAATTCAGACTGGACTTATACAGCTACCCCGGTAAATCGACGGGGATAGTCATGTGGCCCCTCTGCAACACTCCATCATGAATCGATGTCATCTGTCAGGCCCTGAATTTGTCCATGTGGCCCCTATGTAGGGCTTGGAAAACTCTACATCCTATATTTTTTATTTTCAAATCCGACTTCGTTTAAGATTTTTACAAAATGAAAAACGAAAATTGATTTAAACAAATTATTTAAAAAATAATAAAAAGAAAAGCAGGGATTTTTTTTGTCATTTTTTATCATGAGGGGCATGGTCGCTGAGTTGTCCTGTATTTTTTGAGAAATGTTTTTCGGGTATGTGTCAGGAAATTGGGTGTTTAAAAAAAATTAAGATGCAAAAATTGAAAACAAATAAAGAAAAAAAGGGGTCAGGCTGGGGTTGTGTGTGTGTATGTGTCCGGTTGTGTGTGTGTGTGTGTGTGTGTAACATGAGGTAGATGCGTTCCGAATATGTGTGACATAATCATCCCGATCAGAGGACGGCGATAGGGGGGAGAGATAAGGCGAGGGTGAGAGAAGGCGAGAGGGAGGAGGAGATGGAGAGATTGTACACGTCCTCCGTCGACGCCATGCATCCTTGTTTTTCATGGAGTGGGGAGAGGATGTGGCGGGGGACGAAGACGTCAAGCCTGCAGGAGGGGAGAATGCTTCTTCAGAAGGGTAGAATACATGCAAACTTCACATATTCGATTCAGCACAGTTCCCCTGTCGAATAAGCCAATGACTACCACCGGCGCTATTCGCCCTATGCATCAATGAGTGAGGGGGAAGATTACTGAACAGGGCGGAAGAGAGGGTAGCCAGGCGAAGCGTATAGGAGAGAGGATCCGTAACGGGAGGAAGGGAAAAATGTGCGATAGCAGAAAAACGGGATCATTCATCATGCACGAGTAAATAACCGAAAGCACAGTACAACCATAACGGGAGAGTACGAATCCATCCATCATGGAGAGAAAGAGAGACGAGAAAATCGGAGTAACCATCAGACGGAAAAAATTAGAGGAGAAAAACGAAAGCGAAATCGAAACGAGACTGCCCATGCATTCCTCAGCGGGCCATACATGCACGCCACCATTCCAAACCTTTTTCGACTACTGGTCTCAAAAAAGCACGAGTATCCGAAAAAAGAAGAGGAAAAAACAGACTTCACGTATTTCTGCACGTGCTCACAATCTTCCTCCACAGAATGCACCTCACAGGTAAGGCGGTCACATTCTGAATGTTTCTTTTTTTTGTTGGTCGTGTGTTTCTTATGAGTCCCCTGTCCGTGAATTGCTCAAGCTGTCCGTGATCTGCTCAAGCTGTCCGTGATCTGCTCAAGATGTGTTTTGTCAGAGGATTGTAAGGCTCATTACACTGGCACTTAGGGGAATGTATTCCGCCATTTTCACGGCCGGATCCATGTGCCCGTCTTTTCCCCCTTTTATTCTCTTTTTGGAATCCGACAACCTGGCCACGGGGTTGAGATGCCCTCATTGAGGGCGCACTCACACTACCACTTCCAAGAATGTATACAACTGCAATCACGGCCAAAGCTTTGTTTCCTTTTTTTTAATTATTCTTTTCTAAGGTTCACGGCCGCAACTTTTCTTCTTCTTTTTTGTTTTTTTTTGTTCTTTCCGTGAGAGTACCAGAAAGAAAATGGAGTGGTACCCAGGCTCGGCAAAACTCGGAGCGCAGTGAAATTCCTGGTCGGCAAAAACAGGCTCGAAGGTATTGGTGGTTTAAGATTTCTGAAATTTCTCAAGATTTCTAAAATTGAGATGTTGGTGAAATTTCATGAAAATGCACTTTTGCCTTGCTGTTTTATATGTTTTTTATTATCTTTTTTTGGATTTTTTTTTGCAATTAGTTAGTATGGTCCCCACTCTACGAATTGGTGGCAAGTTTGATTAAAATGACCCTTTGGTTTTCATATAAAGGGCATGGCAAGTGGTCTGAAAATTAGGGTCTCCGTTATCAATAAAGTCTCCAAAACGATCATTGCCAAAAAGTTCCTCACCGCCAAAAAACATTGACGTAACCCTCCGATCGGCCAGGGACAGGAAGGGGTACAAAAAGGGGGGTGAGCGTGGGCGCAAAAGGGGAATGGGGGGGGCGAAAACACGGGGGGAAAAAAGAAGAAGAGACCCTGCTTCAGCTCTATCCTCCAGGCCCATCGTGCTCCTGCCTCGGCACAGGCCATCTCGCCGAATGGCAGGGAGGGTATGGCAAGTCCCTAAAGCGCTTTTCTGCCCCATGCCATCTGGGGCGTCATCAGAGGGGGGAGGGGGAGCATCTTCCATGGTCTTTGGAAGGTGGAGGGGGCGTGGAATTGCGAGGGGGGGCGTGGTGAGGGGGAACGTGGGTGGTGGTGGTGGTAGTGGACAGGACGGGGGAGGGGGAATCCAGGGAGGGGGGAAGGCGGGAACAGCATCCAGGGGGCGGGGGAGAAGGGAGGGAGTATATGAAGAATAGAAAGGACAGAAAGGACAGGAAGGAAAAAAAGGCTAAAAAAACGTGCGGAGAAGTCCCTGTTGCGCTCCTCGACTCCATCGCTCCTGCCGGGCACTACTCAACCAACGCGCGCCAACTGTAAGCAGCTCCGATCGTGAAGAAAAGGCAGCAGCAGCAGGCTAGGAACCTACGCTGTTGTCGTGGCCGGAGGGAGGCCGCAAGGTGGAGGAAGGGGCCCCGGTATAGCCGGGCCCCAGGTGGCCGAGGACAGGGCGGCCATGGGGTTGGTGACAATAGGGACCGTCAAGCATAAGGAAGGGGTCAAGGTCCCCTGTCTAATCGTCTGCGTCGAAGTCGGTCACCTCTCAAACAAGGAAGGTGGCACCCATGCTGGCCTGAGGGGTGGCTTTGGGAATCATTGGGAATTGAGCAGAACGTGTGGCAGGATCGTATAGACAGGTACCAATGGGTTTTCTGCGGGAATCCTGGTCACATCATGAAATTTTTGTCCACAATATAGGAATAGTGCTGCTTTTAGGGCAGCAAAAGGCAACCGCCGGTAGGGGTGGCAATTGCCCCTACCTCGGGAGTACCCCGAGAGTAGAGGGATCTGAGCGTGCGTGCAAGACAGAGACTCCCACTCCAAATATCTCCATGGCAGGGTTTGCTGGCCAATGTCTGGTAAGTTGTCCAGAGATTGTTTTTATAGGGTCTCTCTAGACGCTTCCCTCACAGGCTTAGCCGAAGAGTTGAAGGAGAGGAGGCAAGCATGGGCCAAGATGAATAAAGAAGGGAAAGGGTATCTAATTTTTGCAGACATAGAGATCTTTAGAGCTAGAGTAGGGCCCCTCATAGACAGTGGGGCCACTAGAAGTTATAT